CCTCTGTACACCACGCCCCCAGCCCCTCCACCCCCGCGGAAGACCACGCCCCCTTCCCATCCCACCCCTTACGTTGCCGATCTCGAAGTTCTGGCGCATGAGCAGGTAGAGCGAGGCGCTGGCATGAGTGCGGATGGCACTGACGCGGCTGCCACAGTGTCGCAGGAGCCTCAAGCAGAGATCGGCACACAGCTCCGTGTCCTCCTCGAACAGCAGCTCGGGGAACTGCCCCCAGCCCCAGGGCGGAGACAGACAGTGAGCAGGGCCCTCTGCGGTCCAGCCCGGAAGGTCCCAGATGGAGACAGTGCTGTGTGTGTGTGTTTTAAATAATGATTTAATTTTATTCATTTATTTTAATTTGACCAGAGAGACACATGCAGAGAGAGAGAGAGGGAAAGTGAGAAAGCAAGTCCCCAGGTTCAGGACCCGAACCATGGTCAGCCATGTGGGAGTGTCCAGCACCTTAACCACCACACCAACTGGTCACCCTCTGTGTGTGTAAACATTTATTTGTTTTGATCTTCAGGCTGCCAGTCTGTGACTCAAACGGGACTCAGCAAGGTGAGAATCCAGAGCCTTTAACCACCATGCCACATGCTGGCCCACCTGTGTGTGTTTTTAAATAATTTTTATTTTTTTGGAGAGATTTTCGCTATAGGGCGCGTGCACTCGCCAGACAGAGAGAGACAGACAGAGAGACAGAAAGCGAGAAATCACCCCCCAGGGGGGATGGTCACGCCGCAATCCCTTCTCCTCCTTTCTCCTCTCGGGATCTTGGGCGCGCACGCACACGCGCCCGGCGTGAGTTTTAAGCCACCGGGTCCAGGATGTGAACCGCGGTCGACTACGTGGGAGTCCAGCGACATAGTCATTATGCTAACTGCTGGTTCCCTGTGTTTTTAAATAATTATTTCATTTTATTTATTATTATTTTTTCAAAGGATTATTATATTTCACTTTATTTATTTATTTACTCATTTTAATTTGACCAAAGAGAGGCAGAGTGTGAGAGAGAGAGAAAAGGCAAGAAAGCAAACCGCCAGGTCCGGGACTCAAACCGCAGTTGGCTATGTGCGAGTCCAGTGCCCTCACCACACCACCTGCTGGCCCATACTTATTATTCTTTTTTAATTTGACCAGAGTGAGAGAAAAAGGGAAAGTGAGTAAGCGAGCCACCAGTTCCGGGACTGGAACCGCAGCCGGTCACATCCAGCACCTTAATCACCATGCCACCTCCCACCTTCTATGTCTGGATCATGGCACGTGTGTACACGGCGTTCTCAGGGAGGTCTCGGGATGTGAACCCAGAACCTCCTGATGAGGGTCCGCTCACAGCTGCATTTCCGCTGCACCACTACCCAGCCCGTTCTGTCCTCTGACCAAGCGCGGTGGGCTGTGGATTCAGACCTGGGTCTAACCTGTTGCTGTGTGGCCCTGGGTAAGTAACTTGACCACTCTGATCCTGGGTTTCCACCTCTGTAAACTGTGTGGTTCGAGCCCCAGCCCTGGTGGCTTGCATTCTCACTTTCTGCCCCCCCCCCCCTCTCTGGTCACATTAAAATGAACAAATAAATAAATAATATGTTTTTAAAATTTTCTTTAAAAAATTTTTTTTAAACTTAACTTTATTTATTTTAATTTAACCAGAGAGGAACAGAATGAGAGAAAGTGAGAAAGCAAGGTGCCAGGTGCAGGACTTGAACCATGGTCAGCCATGTGGGACTCCAGTGCCCTTAACTATCACGCCACCTGCCGGCCCCAAATACATAATTTTTTTAAAGATTTATTTAATTTTATTTATTATTATTTCTCTTTTTAAATTTGATCAAAGGGAGACAGAGAGAGAAAGAGAAAGTGAGAAAGCAAGCCGCCAGGTCTGGGATTCGAACCACAGTTCGCCACGTGGGAGTCCAGTGCCTCAACCACCACGCCAGCTGCCAGCCTAAATAATTCTTTACAAAAAAAAAAAATCTCTGCTTCAAGTTGCTGCTGAGCATGTAATAGGTGCCAACCTAACACGAGGGCTGGTCTGGCTGCTCTGCAGACTGTCACGGTCACAGGGGACTCACCTTGGACACCAGGGCCCGCTGGGTGGCCAGGCCGTGCTGCAGGAAGAGGGCGCTCTGGGTGCTGCCTAGACTGTACAGCACCACCTTCAGTACCGCGCCCAGGACGCTCTCCCGGGCCTCGGACAGCATCACCGTCTGGGGACAAGGGGGTCAGAAATCCGGAGGTTAGAGACTGAGAGGACGAGGGGGCCCTGGAAGGAGGGGATCATGGCGTTGGAGATCACAGCACCGTGGTGAGTGGAGAGGAAGATGCTGGATCCAGCCCTACCTGCACGATGATCTCCAGTGTGTCCAGAACCACCAGGCTAGCCTCGGTGGCCAGGTTCCCTTCCACCAAAGCCTCGTGGTCCATTTCATCCTTGGTCCTGGAAGGGAGAGGATGTCTTAGGGGGCTGGGTGGGGGGTGGCGGACACCCGGGACCAAATCTTGTACCATAGCTCTTGCCTCTCTTGTTTTTCATGGTTCTATTCTTTTTTTGTTTCTTTTCTTAAGAGTTACTTCTTTTATTTAACTCTGTTTGTGTGTTTATTTTAATTTGATTAGAGAGGGACAAAGTCAGAGAGACAGAGAGACAGAGGGAAAGTGAGAAAGCAAGCCACCTGGTTTGGGACAGTTTCGAACCGTGGTCAGCCATGTGGGAGGCCAGTCCCCTTAACCACCACGCCACCTGCCAGCCCCTCTTTTTTATTTTTAAAATAAATTTTTGCTATATGGTGTGTGTCTTCACCAGAGAGACAGAAAGCGAGAAATCACCCACAGGGGGGATGGCCACGCCGCAATCCCTTCTCCTCCATTCTCCTCTCAGGATCTTGGGCACGCACACACACACACACGCGCCTGGCGGGAGTTTAAGCCACCGGGTCCAGGACTCGAACCGTGGTCGACTACGTGGGAGTCCAGCAACGTAGCCATTACGCTAACTGCTGGTCCCACTACCATTATTTTTTAATTTGAGCATAGTGAGACAGAGAGAGAGAAGTTAAGTCAAAAAGCAAGCTGCCAGGTCCAGGACTCGAACTGTGGTTGGCCATGTGGGAGTCTATCGTGCCCTTAATCACTACGTCACCTACTAACCCTGTTATTTTTTTTACTTTTTAGATCTTCCATGAGAGAGAGGGGAGAGATGGACAGGTAATCCCCACCGAGTCCTCACACTGTAACCTGCACCCCACTCCAGCTCCCGGCAACAAATTACAGCCACGCACATCTTGGCGTGCACAGGGAGACCTCAGACTCGAACCCAGCACCTCCCCGTGAGCCCAGCATCACAGAGCCATGCCTTACCACTGCGTCCCCGCTGCCAGCCTCCTCCCTCCCTCCCTTGGCTGCTCTCTGCAAGGTGTAG